AACATTGATGAAATTTTGAAAGACGATGGGGTCGTGAAAGCTTTAGAAGAGGCGATAAAGAACGGAGATGGAAAGGGAAAGCAAGCAATTAATATTCCCGAATAGTTAATTCGTGTTTGAAAAAATATTATTTTGGATATGGATAAAAACTTAAGATTCATATTTTAATTTGGGTGTGGAATGTTTAATGTTTAACTTATATACTTATAGATAGATTTTTTGGTGTTTTGGATGTTTAATGTTTAGTGTTTAATATGTTGCTTAATAACTATATCTTAAGATTGTGGTGGTTGGATTTTACATTTTATATATTAAGAATAGTTAATCCGTGTTATTCGTGTTTATCATAAGCTACAAAAGTCATACAAAATACACTATTTTTAATCACATTGTAAATGTTATTTGGGTTATTTGGGTTATTCGGGTTATTCGGCTCCTTAATCATATTGTACATGTTATTTGGGTTATTCGGGCCGGAACCGAACCCGAACCGAATAATACCCGAACCGAACCGAACCCGTATTGCTTATTTGGTTCGGTTTTCGGTTCATACAATTACCCTTATTCGGTTTTCGGTTTATTCGGGTTCAGGTCGGTTCGGTTCGGTTCCGACCCGAATAACATCCCTACTATCAAGGGTCTTACACTTTATGTTACATTTTACCTACTTTACGTCACATTCAACATATTACATTTAATCTACCGATAACGACACCCCCCCTTCGATCAAATCTAATACATTTAACCGGATTGTCTAATTGCAAATCAGTGTTTTGTATACTTTAAACTTTTCTAAAACTTCATCCTTAGAATACAACAAATACACCCCCCCCCCCTTTCAATCAAATCTAAGACATTTAACCAGATTGTCTAATTGCAATTCAACGTTTTGTATACTTTGAACTTTTCTAAAACTTCATCCTTAGAATACAACAAATACAAATAGCGAAATTGTGTTGAATCATCAATGAAAGTAATCACATACCTTTTGTTACTAAGAGAAGAAGTATAATGGAAATCACAAAGGTCATTACGAATTAATTCCAAATTTTCAAAATTTCTATAAACATTTGGAAACGGTTGTTTTATAATTTTTCTTAACATGCAAATTTTTCATCACTAATTTCAAAGGCCGAAATTAATCCACCTTTTGATATTTTATTTATTCTTCTAAAACTATCATGACCTAAACCAGCATGACATAGCATGGACTCATCAATTTTAGAAGATGCAAAAGAAGAAGATGACACAAAAACAAAATTTTCAACACAAGATAAAGTATCAACCACATTTAGACGAAACATATAGTTGCAATAATATACAAAACCAATAGATGTGTCAAATCGAGATAGGATATACATATCTAATTCATAAACTTGTTTAAAACCATCAGAATTTAAACAACCACCACTTATAAAGATTAGGAAAAAACAAAACATCAAACAACTTAATAGTATTTCCAGGAAAAAAAAACCTAAGACTAACAACTCCAAAACCACAAATTGGTTTACTCGTCTCATCATTTTATAGTTATTAAAATCATAACAAGAAATTAGTGTCGAGTGAATTGACCCATAATGTGAAAGATTTTATTGTAATGTTTCATAACAGTGTAACGTCCCAAAAATTTAAAGTAAGATTTTCATTTTTTAAAATAATAAGCCATAGAAATAAGTTTTTCCAAAACCAATTAAAGTGATTACATCATGCAAACATCAAAGTAAAAATCATAAGTAGTTAATGCATAAACTATGCTGGATGCAGTGCAGTCACGCCGTACCCTTCCCTTTAGAACCGAAAGTACCTAAAACCATAAACACGAAACCGTAAGTACAAATCTTAGTGAGTTCCCCCAAGATATCACATGCAACATATACATACATAAATATAACAGCATGTGGTTGTGATGGATCCGTATCAACCCCGAGTCCATAATGACTCATGTAACAACACGTAGTTGTGTCGGGTCCGTATCAACCCCCAGGTCCGTTTCAACCCCGAATCCATAATGACTTTGAGCCCCGATTGGCTCCATGCATATAACATACAATCATACCAGTAATAGTCATGTAGACACATACAACTTACGTATACAAATCAGTGGGCCGATATGGGTGCCTTCGACCCACAAGTATGGTGAGAAGACTCGCCTGAATCATAAAACCGACTAAAACCCCAACTCAAAGTCATGCCAACCACAACTAACAACTCTCACTACCAAAAGATGGGTGATAAACACCTCCTAATAATCCACACAAGGTATACCTTAAGTCTACCTTCTAAAAATATAAATTTGACCAAAAGTCAACCCATACCAAAAGTCAATAGTTAAAGTAAACGGCAAACGTTGACTTTAGTCAAGAAATTCCCAGTCGCCACGTCGTAGCGACATATGACCATGTTGTGGGAGCTGAGATTCCAACAACTTAATGGACTAAGCTATTTTTTTTTCGATTCCAAAAGCTCCAAAGCTCAGATTTGGTCCATTCTATGGTCTAGATAGACAAAGTTTCCAACTTTATCGATTAAGACACCTAAAGAGATTAAGATCTCCAACCTTAGGTCTAAATAAGGCCAAATACCACAATGTCTTAACCATTAAGCTCTTATTCTGAAAAAGTCCTTAGCCCAACCACTCCAGAAGGGTTAATAAAGGTGGAAGCTTTATAGACTTTTATATCCAAAACACGTCTAGAAATCCATATTTGGTCAAATGAGCTAAAATTAACTCAAAACTCATGAAAAAGATAGGAACTCCAACCAAAGTCTAGATCCACAACATAAGAAGCTCATGGGACTCAGGAGAGGATAAAGTTGCCAACTTTATGAATTCCAACCTTCCAAACTTGCTCAAATGTGAAGAACGTGGGACAATATTCTAGATCTAGCCACTTTAAGCCATAAAGATCGCGCCTTTGACACTTACATGGATCCAGAAGCTATAAGAGAAGTTGATGATGTTGGTTACTTGCAAGTTCCACCAATAGATCACCTTCTTCTCTTTCTTCTCTTCTTCTCTAAGCCAACAATGCTCCAAAAAGGTCACAAATCACCAAGGGAATGAGAACTAGGGTTTCTATGAGGTATAACGGTGCTGGAGGCTGGTAATGAACCCTAGAAATGACTTAGAGGGGTTTAAATATGAAGGAAACCCTAAAAGAATCATGAGCTTGGGCCAGAACAGCTGTCACGCCGTGGCAACCCTTGGTCACATCGTGGCGATCCAAATAAACACGCGGTCCATCAACCCATTGCCACGTTGTGGCATCCTAGCATCACGTCATGACATAGGGTCTCTTACAAAATTTCATTTTTGGTCCTTGATAAAAGTAAGCCTAACCAATCCGGAACACAGGTGTTAAAAATAGGCCTTGAGTCTACTATTTTATAGTTATTAAAATTGTAACCAAACACTTCTTGCTAGAAGCATCCTCAGGGATGTACTTAGACTCAAGGGTATTCCACAATTTCTTTGTACTTTCCATGTTTTGGTAGATATAAAAAAAGGATCATATATATCGTTCAAAATGTGGCCTTTGTAGATTTAATCATCATTGTCTCACTTACAACGGAGTCTGGTTTGCTCATTGTTTCATTTTTTTTGTGTCTCTGGTGAAGGAGTGCTTAGAACATGAACTGCCTTCAAAGTAGTTAGTAGAAAGTGCATCTTTTTCTGCCAACAATAGAAGTCGTTTCCCTGGAACTTCTCCAACTTGTCGAACTTGGACGTCATCTCTTTCACCAATTCGTTCATGATTTATAAAATAGAAACGAATATCAGATTTGATTGTTAGGGTTGATAAGAAGATATTTGTTACAAAAAATTGATATGAATCCTAGATCAACTTGAAGGATCGTGTGATCGCTTTCCGAATATGATATTTCGACCCTATGTCTGGGTCACACAAAATTCAGATTATGAGGATAGTCTTTTAAGAAACGGTTTTGTATCAAGGTATTGATATGAGACCACGAACTAGGGTTTTATAGCTTTTTGAAATCTTAAGATTACCAAAAATAACATCAGTCAATATTAAATGTTGATTTTATCCTATAAATAAGGGATGATGGTTTCAAAGTAATTATCAAGAAATATTGTCCGAATATAACATTTTCCATAACAATTTCCTTAACAAAATTAATTTGCGGTTTGGGGCCTGCCCCACATCTTGTGAGGGCAGCCCCCCTCGACCCCCTCATTTGGTCGAACCAAGATCAAACTTGTTTTATACAAACATACATTATGCACCTTCTAACTTGTCTACAATCCAGACTTGGGGATGTGACACTAAAATCAACGACAAACATTAGCCTGATGTCATCGCCGCAACTACTTTCGGTGTCTGAAAGATCCGAAATTAGCATGGTTGATCAAAAACGGACCAACGAGCAAAACTCATAACTTTGCCATTGACCTCCAATGTTTTCGGCTATTCATAGTCGTTAAGGGGCCAAAAATGGCGCTTTTTTATTTTTTGAGTATTATTTAACTTTATTTGAGTTTCTGTAGCTTTGGATTTCAATAACTTTTTGTTAGGATATACTTTCCTAATCTATTTCGAATTCTAGATTAGTTTTTTTTTGGCTGTTATATGCACTCGTTTTGTTTTTCCTAGAAAGATCGTCATTGACGTTATTAAAACCGAACCCTAATTGGGATTCTTTGGTCATTCTTGTGTTTGTGGCTATTTAAGTGTGTCCATCTCTGCATCATATTATAATTCATGAAAATTATTATTTTGATTCTTATTATATATAATTGGAGACGAAAAATTGGCTTAATTATGCTTAATAATGTTCTAAATTTAATTTTCCAATAAATTAGTTTAATTATGCTTAATAATGTTCTAAATTTATTTTTCCAATAAATTGGCTTAATTATGCTTAATAATGTTCTAAATTTAATTTTCCATTGTCTTTTCGCATACTAATTGAGTGAGTGTTTGAAATATAGAGTGAATCAAATTCCAATAATTCAATACTGATAGCAACTTTAAAGATTGATATCATAACTTTAAAAAAAAAATCTTTATTCCATGGCCCACCCTACACAATATACCAAAACTACTTCAATCACCATGTTTTTTTTTTCACAAGAAAGTGGATCAAGTGTTCCCATTTTTGTCAAAAACACATTGGCATCAAGTAAAACATGTTTACAAATTTGTACTAAGATTACCACTGCTATTCCATCCTTCTTGAACTTGAACTGAATACTGCATATTCCAAAGAACATCTTCAATCGATGGGCGTACATTCACATCTTCATTAAGACAATTTATTGCTATTTGAACAGCTGTTTTCATGGACTCATAAGCAAAAGTTCCTCTTATCGATGAATCCGCTGCCTCTTTAAGTTTTGTTGGAGACTCCATTAACCCAATCTCTAGCTGAAAAGTAAAAAAAAAAACCCGGAAATCAAGTAAGGAATGGAATAGTTTATTCCATAGCAATATAAAAATCTGTTTGCTTATTCCATTCCATCCAATCAAACAAACACTAGAATGGGATAAGATTACCTCGTTCTTGAGCTCAGTTATCTCATCCTCTGAGTCGACCGGTTTTCCTGTAATGAGTTGGAGGATGATGACTCCAAATTGATATATATCATCTTTTTCTAGATTCATAGGCCTAAAAAATAAAGAAACGATTACTAAATCGATAACAACCGAAATGTTTTTAAAAAAAAATAAACGAAAAAGCGGATTGTTGTACCTTTGAGAAACTTGGGAAGAAGTATCATGGCCATGTAAAGGGCTTTCAGAACCAACCTTTGATGATAATGAAATATTGTAACTACTGATTTTAGCAGTTAAATTATCATCCAACAACACACTTTGAATACTCAAATCATTCCCAAAAATCCCATGTTGAGTTCCCGTATGCAAGAATTGAATTCCTCTTGCAATTCCCATTGTGATTCCCATTCTATGTGGCCATTTCAAGATTTCTTTCTTTCTCCAATCTGTCAAAGTAATCGAAACAATATGAGTTATGATTTATTCTATAATATATGTTAGTATTATATTATATTATATACCTGTAAGATGATCTCTCAAAGATCCGTTTGAAACATTTTCAAGAACAACAAACGCGGTACTACCCGAATTAGGATGATCAACATATGACACGATGCAATGACCAAGAACACTCACGAGATGTCGATGTCTAAGCTTAGAAATCACTTCCATATGTTGTTGCAAGTTTTGAGTCGAATGTTTTTGTTTTAACTTTAAACATTTGATCAACACTATTGTTCCATCCCTTAGCCACCCTTTATAAAGCTACCATAAAAACAAGTTTTAGAAAAATAAAACGAATGAATACAATCGGATCAAAAGAACACGAGAATTAAGTGGTTTACTTGTGCTTGAGATCCTTCTCCCATTAAATTTGAAGAATCAAAGTTGTTTGTTGCATCTTCGATTTCTTCAAGTGTAAATATGGTGTATGGTGGTAGACCTAGCGCTGCTGTCCTCATCGTTTGGGGTCTACGCCCTGTAGAATACATACAGATACACAGATACAATGTTATACAGACAAAGTGTTGTGTGAATAAATGATGATTAAAAACTATGATGACACATTTGGGTAAATGAAAGTAAAAGAATAAATTTAAATTACTAAAAGGGAAAAAGCTTCTCTATTTATTTTTAGGACTTGATCTAAAAGACGATTATAACCTTTTTCTCATAATAAAAGATTCTTGGAAAGAACCTTTACTCATAATATTATGCCACAATCCCACACTTACTATTTTAGCCTTTTGTGCCCATTAAATCAAAAGGTAACTAACACCTAAGTCATCTTTTATTATGTCCACATAATTCATATAAAGATAAAATGTAAAACTTTTGATAAAAAAGAAAAAAAAAAAAAAAAGTTACTATAAAACAAGTACAAAGTATAACACGCATAACAAGGAGAGAGTTTTACCATCTTTTGGCACTGAAGAAGGAGCACGAACAGCATTCTTGTCGAGAGCGAAACTATCAGATCGGAATTGTTTTGCCCTTTTAGCAACTCGTCTTCTATAAATACCCAAAATCAACAACCCAATCAATCCCAAAATTCCCACAATACCCCCAATGATACCAAGAACAACCCCAAGCTTCAAAGTAGTCTCCTCTTTCTTACTTTCACCATTTCTCTTTGGAGGCAAAACAGCTATCGCTTCTTTTTGACAGAATTTTTTGGGATGTTGATACTTTGAAGTTGAATTCGTTAAACAATTCCATGTGCTAATAACTGTTCGATTCGTTGATCCAATACAAGATGGTAATTTCCCAATCAAAAGATTATTAGAAAGATCTACAAATCCTAGATTTTTGGTACATGTTAAGTTCGCAGGCAATGCTCCACTGAATTGATTGTTGCCTAAATTGAGATACTGAATCGAAGAGAGCGAAAACAAAGAGGAGGGAATGGGACCCACAACTTTATTTGAGGAAATATCTAGTCTTTCAAGATGAACAAATTTCACAAAATCCGAAGGGATTTCGATCCTGATTGAATTGTTCTTCAATGTGATCGACACAAGATTGTAACTCAAAGAAGGGTATTTTGGACCTAAACGATTACTACCCAAATCAATAACTTCAAGATTCTGCAACCCCTTTAGATCTGGCACACTCCCATTAAACAAATTATTTGACAAATTAACAACAGTGAGATTTTTAATTGTCGAAATGGTAGATGGGATCTCACCATTAATGAAGTTGGAACTAAAGTTCATAACTTCAAGACTCCAAAATCTATCAACCTTAGGGGGTAGGGTACCCCACAAACCTAGGGATACAAGTGTCAATTTCTTTAAAGTTGAAAGCTTTGTAAGGTCAGTAAAGAAAGAATCGATTGAAAAACTGGGAGAAAGTGGTTTTGTTTTGTTTCCAACGATGGTTAATTCAGTGATGCGATTACCTGAACAAACAATCATTAGACTGGGATTTGAAGGCAGAAAGCAGAAATTTGTCCAGTTTCCCCATTCTTTGAAGAACTTGTGGGTACTCGAGTTTTTGTTGAACTTGAAAAAGGATTCTTGAATCTCCTGTATTCAGTTGTGAAAACAAAGACGGAAGCGAAATGAGAGAAAAGAAAGCTAGAAACACTAAATTACTTGAAATCCTGATGAAGTTTTCCTTCATTTTTGGTCGATCAAAGCTTAAAAATTGAACTCCATGGATCTTGTTTTGAGCTTTGTGCAATGAACGAAGCAGTGGAATCAGTGTCAACTGAAAAGCCAAAAAATTAAACTCTTTTGAAGAATTTATTGTTTCTGGATATGGTTTACAGCTAAAATGAAGGGTTTTTTTTTTCTTTTTTCTTTTTTGCAAAGATTTAAACTTTTTGCATGTAACTATGGTGGGGAAATCGATTGGCGAATAGAAGGAAATGATTGAAAAGCAAGAGCTTTTGGAAGAATGATGATATGAGAGAGAGAGAGAGAGAGAGAGAGAGAGTTTTGTACGTGTTGGAGATTCTATAGCCAACATGGCTTGTTCCAAAGTCTATCTGTCAATTGATGTATTATAATTTTTAAAGACAAAAAGGAATATATTTAGTCGGTCCAGAAAAAAAGAAATTGAATAAAGTGAATTACATATGTTTTTAAAATATCATATTTGTTTTGGTATGGTTTCAATTAATACATATAATGATATAAAACGACACTGATGTAATATATTCATGTGAATATAAGTTAATTTGAATTATATTTATTATTATTATGTCAAAATTTAAAAGTGTATTAAGCTTTTCTCAAAATATATTAGGAAGAATGGGTTCAAAGTGATATATTTAATTGACTATTTATAATTTATTAATTAGTTTTAATTTGATGAAATAAATTTTATTTTAATAATAAGGCCTACTGACTTTAAAGTCCTTAAGTTTTGTAATTTTTGTTGGTTTTGTCCCTGCAACGATTTTAGATGTGTTTATGCCTAACATTTAGGAGAAATTGTTTATTTTTTGCCCTTCAAGCACATTTAACCTTCTACAACATGTCAAATTTGCTTATAGCAGGTCACCACCACCACCACAATCTACCCTCCTGCCACCACCAGAAGCAACCACCACCCCTAGGTCGGTTACCTACTTGCGCCACATTCCTCCATCATCATATCACAACAAACCAACGCCATTTTCGAATCTACACAAATTGTTTGAACCGCCTTACCTTAGCCACCAAACCCCACCAAACAACATTGTATTTTGACCATCGGAGGTACCTAAGACACCCTCCCCTCCACAGGAAAAATGAAACCCCCTAATCTCTCCCTTCGTCGAAAAACGAAACTCCCTTTCGATTTCACCACAGCCCCTACCACCACCAGAAGAAACCACCACAACCCCCCTTATCTCTCCCTTACGAAAAACACAACAGAGGCGTCGACAACATCACCACCGCCATTTGAAGATCAAAACAAAACAGCAAGGGCACCGACTAGAGGTGGTAGTGGCAGCAGGAGTGGCTAGGGTTTAAGACGAAGATGTTGGTAGCAGCAGCTAGAGGCGGCAACGACTATGGGTCACGATAACAGCTGAAGGTGTGGTTTTCAGGTTTCCGACGGATGGATGAGGGTAGCGTAGGTAGCTCTAGTGGTCGAATGACAATGATGGTTGGTGGGGTTTGATGACAGAGCGAAGGCGGTTCCATCGGTGTGTGCAGATCCGAAAATGGGTTTTCGGTTTTCCAGCAGCGGAGGACAGTGATGGTACCACTGGTTTCTTGAGAGAGAGAGAGAGAGAGAGAGAGAGAGAGAAAGAGAGAGAGAGAGAGAGAGAAGGAGTAGGGAGGTAGAAGGTAACCAGCTAAAGGGGTGGTGACCTGTTGTAGAAGGTCAAATATGTCTAAAGGGAAAAAATGAACAAGTTCTCTCAAATATTAGGCATTAACGCACCTAAATCGATGTAGGGACAAAATGATTGAGAGGTACCCAAAAAATAATCAATGTTTTTTTTAATCTATCATTTCATAGGAATTTGGTAATGATGAATAAAATTATTTTGTGATCTTAAATGCATAAAACATATTTGTAATCAGATATGAATACTATCGTAATTCTAAAATAATAAAACACAATTTAAAGATAATATTCATATCAATATGTTATAAACATGAACTTATAAAATACATTGCATAAATAATTAGAATATGTATATCTATTTATAAATGGAATAACATAAACTAGTTACAATTTAATCATAAATGAATAACATATAATCACCCATAATTACAACCAAACATCATACAGATACAGATGACAAATGAATAAAACCTATAATCATAAATGAATAACACATATAATCATCTATAAATACAATCGAACATCATACAATTTCCTAGTTTCCTACTATTGCTCCACCTCATAACTTCCCATGTAATCATCAATGAATAACACATATATTCATCAATGACTAACTTATGTGTGAATGCATCACCCTTTATCCTCTTCGGTAAGCTCTAATGCATATAATCATCGATGAATACAACTAAAGACCTTTAGTATTCCGGTCTTCTTTCCCAACGAGATAAGGACACTGGTGATTATAACCAAGGTAATATATCGGACGTCAAAAGTTCTCTCGTCATCGATGAGTCCAAAAATGTTAACTTCATGTAGGATATGCATGACCACAGTCAAAAGCTCTTATTCTTCCTTTGAAGTTGAATTGCAGAAGATTGAACGTTGATGTTTAATGGACACCTTAAGCATGAATACAAAGCAGTAACGGCTTTCATTATTTCAAAGAATAGCTACCTAATAAGAAAAAAAAATAGCAGTAAAAAAAATCATAAGTCTTTCACAAACAAAAAAAAATTGTAAACCATATGTTCATGTATAAATATAAGAAACAAATAGATTGAATTTTCCATAAAATAATATATTCTTTAACAATATAATGTTCTATTCATGAAATTACAAAACAAAAGTCAGATTCATATGTTTTGTTGCTAAAATTTACGTAAAGTGGTTTTCTAATCATATTTCCAATTAAGGAGGAGTACCTTTCTTGTTTGACTTTCTGAGAACGATGGTGTTCTTGAATTAATCCATGTGAGTTTTGATTTTTTGATTCCTCACATAAGAACATTGATGAGGTTATGCAAAACTTTTTAATACGGCAGATTTTTAGGAATCTTGTTCTGATCGCAATACCCATTGTACCCTTAAAGCTGAACGACATGTATAAGCTTTGGAGCCATGACGAGATTTTTAGAATCTTGAAATTGAGTATATAATTGTTTAAAGGTAATTTATAGTTTTATTTTGTTAGAATGCGAGAACCCAAGTCGGGAAGTATTAACCGTCTATCCAAACTACAAGATGTGCAATCAATTCTTTATTCCATCAAAGTTAATAATGTCATGAATTATTTTACTTAATGAATGTAGATTTTAATTTAATATATATTATTAACTGACAACTTTTAGTTACCTACTTCATGCCTTCAATAAATTAATCATCAAGATTTAAAAAAAAAAAGTTAAAAAATATTATCTACATTAATATGTCTAAAAGAAGTGGTGACTTGAAAAATCTCAGCTTTTAGGAGAGAGAGAGAGAGAGAGAGCACAAATATACCGAGATTGACATTTTTTTTTGACCTTGTCGTTGTAATGGAGCGGTGTTCTTGCAGTCAGATGGTAATTATGAAACTAGATGGAATCGTGTTGTGCCTATGAAAGTAAATATTTGGCGACACTGTTTTAAAAACCGATTTTTTAGTTGAACTGATATGGTGACTGGTTTCCAATTCAACCGATTTAACGGGTTCGACCGCCGGGTCAATCAATTTCTATAATCTTCATATTTTTTTTTCTATTTTCCTACACATACATACATACATAAATCAAGAATTTTACGTCCACAAGTTCATACATAAAAAATACACATAAAAATAAGTTTTAGATCAATCCACATACATTAAAATTACACAACCATAAATTTTACATCAACCCACATACATAAAAAAAGTATAATACCGAAACAAAATATAATCCACATACATAAAAAGAAAATAAAGTATAAACCGAAACAAAATATAGTTTTAGATAAATACAAACGCATAAAAAAACTTCATAACATTTACCATATGTTTTTATTTACAAATCTAAATGGATGTGAAAAAAACCACCAAAGTTTATTATGCAAAATGATTCTTTTTCATGTATTTTTATTCAATTTAACCGGTTCAACCAGTTTAGTTTAACCGGCTCAACCAGGTTTTTGTAAAAACTGTTCGGTTCGTTCCTGTTCAGAAATAGGCATAAAACTGGTGATAGCTGGACCGTTTTCTTCTCCGGTTCCTGGTTCAATCGGTTTGACCGACCTGTTCAAACCGGTTTTTAAGTCTAAGCCTAAAAGGTTTGTATATTCATTTTTTTCCTTTGTCCGTTACTTTTAAAACAGTGGAAACAATTGATCATGTCTTGCTTTTGTGCGAAGATGCTTCTTTTATTTCACAAAAGGGTGTTTAGAATGGTGGATTTGGTTTTACCATGACTCATATACGACAATTATTTGTATAGTTGGAAACAATCTCTCTTTCTTCTAAAAAGAAGGCGGTATTGGAATCAACTATTGAGACAACTCTATGGGTAATTTGGAGGTTCCGTAATGGTGTTATTTTTGGGGAGTCGCTCCCGACAATTTTTATTTTTTTATTTTTGATGATATAGTTGATTTCTTGTTTAATAGGTTTGTGTTTAGAAACAATAAAAAAAATGATAGTTGGGTTGATTGGTTTAAAATCTAATTCTAGTTATTACTTTGTAATTTCTAACTTCTTGTTAGTTTCGATTATAAATTTCAATTGTTCAGAAGAAAAAAAAGCGGTACTCTACCCCGCATAGTCTAAGTTATAAGGCTACACAGAGTGTAGCGGGAAGTTGATGCGGGAACCGAACCCTTACCTCGGAACACAACACCGAGGGTGCGGGATAGCAAGTGCGGGAACCAGGTGGAGGGAAAAGACACCGTGTTCTCTCTCCTGATTTCATTAGCCGATTTTTTTGCTTTTTTCTTATAAACGGTCAGATTTCTATATATATATATATATATATATATATATATATATATATATATATATATATATATATATATATATATGGTTCATGAGAAAATGCAAATAATTTGCGAAAACGCAAAAACAAGAGAAAACTATGAGATTGTGTCACCTCAACCTTATATTTTGGAAAATAATTCATCCAAACTTTGAACTACATGATGATAATCGATGACACATGAGAAATTGTTTCATATTAGCAAAGCATGATTTTTGACATTTTTATTATGAAAACATGAATTTAATAGCGGTTAAGGACGTGAAAAAAAAATAGTTGTTAAAACCGTCTTTAAATTTATATTATCATAACACAATCCAATGTAAACCTATTATCTTTAATTTATTGCTAATAAATTTATTTTTTATAGTACTTGTGTTTGATTTTTATAAGATAAAATATGTTTTCGCGTTTTCGCAAGATATTTATTTTTCGCATGAATCTACTTGTATATATATATATATATATATATATATATATATATATATATATATATATATATATATATATATATATATATCATTCCTAATAAATAAAGAATTTTTTGGCACATGTCACACTCTTATTGATTTGGCCACATTTCATTTTGTGGTTATTTTCAATTAATTTTTTTCCACATGGCATTTTGTGGTTTTTTTTATTTTATTAATTTCCACATAATATTTAAATGTAATAATTACAATAAATGTAATAATAAATGCATATCAATTTCATTAATTGACTTTCTTCAAATTTCAAATTTTCTAAATTAAAGTTTCATTAGTTTTATTTGTTTATTTATCTACATTATTTGTTTAATTTAAAAAAAACATACAATTTAATTTTAATAATTCAATATTTTTCTAATGACAAAATTGCAAAAATGGTCCCTGTGGTATGCATTTTTTTGGGGTTTCAGTCCAAACCTCGACTTTTTTGGATTCATGGTCCTTTTGGCCTAGTTTGTACGTAGAATTGGTCCCCCGACTTAACTTCCGTTAAGTTATTGCTGTTAACCTCCTCATGTGCCTCCCACATGAGGGTATATTTGTATTTTCACTTATAAGGGACCATTTTTGCACCAAAAAAATATAT